ATTTTTAGCAGGTCAGCTGTCGTAAAATATACGACAGGTCTGGACCACACATGAATTTTGTTCGTATCTGCAAAAAACTCTTAGAATACGAAAACATTGGTGAATGCCACAAATTGTCCTAAATCACTCGTACGCACAATTTAAGAACAAATCTGTGCGTACGAACGGTTCTTGCATGAGGCCCAATGTGAGGAAACCAGAGAAACGCAATACACTAACACTCGGCCCAGATACTGCAAAGAATGACGAACCTTTAGTGGCCCAGATATGGTTTTGCCAGATGTGGTCCATGCATGGGCCATCACCATATAAACCAGAAAAAAACTCAGAAAAATCACATGATCTATTTTTATCCCTAATGATATATGGCAGACTAATTTATTGTGATGCTTTCATCATCAGAAAAATTGTTGATCCATGCTCAGCAATAGGCTGGACAAACCATCAGGGTGACATTCTACTGTTTTAAATCAATAAAATAACTCAATTACACAACAATACATTACTGCTACACTACTGCTACAACCCTGGCACTGCTGGAGTTTTTTGTTGTTGTTTTTTACTATCTAGAAAAAGTATAAGTAGTATTATGGATCTTGCCACGATCTGCAGTTCCTGGTTGTTCAGAGTTCTGCTTGTTCTTCTGCAGGTCTCCAAACAGGACATGTCCTCCCTTCACCCGAGTAGCGTAATTTTCATTCCCCTCCCCATCTGACCACAGATTGCCTTGTCCACCTGAATTAGACTGCGGTCTGGTCCCAGCTACTCACTGAGCAGGTCTCTGTGTGTCCCCGACTGCCCCCATTCTAAAGTGTAAGTGCTCTGAGGGCTCACCGGGGTTTGAGGACAAGCCACACAAGCAGGTTTGGTGTGTGGCGGAGTGTCAGTGACTCACAGTCTGGGCTCAAAGCTCTGCTCTCAATCTGCACAGTGGTCCTGACCCAGCTTTTACCTGAGGATAATACTAGGACCAACTTTGTGTACTAATTTTATGTTAAATGTACATAGCTGCAAACTGCTGACCAATGTGGTAAATTGAGTTTTTGACTCCATAGCACATACTCTATAGCTCCTGTTATGAATTAATTCACAGCTAGCCAGGTAACAACCATGCTTCACATAACATAGCCCTGCACGGAAAAATAAATGTAAAATTAGCTTGATAAGGGAACTTTTTCCACTAGTTTTATTCTGTTTAATCAAATGGTGTACGCCCATAATGAAAAAATCATGTAAAAAAATGCAAAAAAGTACATAAGACATGTGAAAACTGATAATTGCTGTCATATTGTTTTTGGTTTGACAGTATGCTGTAGAAAAAGACACAACCATAGCAACTATTATGGAAAAGGACTGTGCTTTAAACTACAGTAAAGGTAAACCGTTAAGGTTCCAGGGGTATAATTTTCTTCCATTTTATCCTAAGTCAGGTCACTGGGGCAGCAGCTTGAGCAGGGAACCTCAGACCTCTCTTTCCCCAGCCACGTCTTCCAGCTCTTCTGGGAGGACTCCAAGGTGTTCCCAGGCCAGCCACTCTTCCAGTGTGTCTTGGGTCTTCCTCAGGGTCTCCTCCCAGTGGGACATGCCTGAAGCACCTCCCTAGGGAGGCGTCCAGGAAGCATCCTTAGATGCTCAAACCACCTCAACTGGCTCCTCTCGACGTGGAGGAGCAGCAGCTCTACTCTGAGTCCCTCCCAGAAAACTGAACTTCTCACCCTATCTCTAAAGGAGAGCCCAGACACGCTGTGGAGAAAACTCTTTTTTGACCGCTTGTATCCACGATCATCTTCTTTCTGTCACTACCCAAAGTTCGTGACCATAGATGAGGGTAGGAACTTAGACTGATCGTAAACAGAGGGTTTCTCCTTACAGCTCAGCTCTCTCTTCACCACAACAGACCGGTACAGAGTCCGCAAAACTGCAGAAGCTGAACCGATCCGTCTATCACTCTCATGCTCCATTCTTCCCTCACTCGTGAACAAGACCCAAAGATACTTGAACTTCTCCACTTGAGATAGAACTTCACCCCCAACCTGGAGAGTGCAATCCACCCTTTTTCGACTGAGGACCATGGACTCAGATTTGGAGGTGCTGATCCTCATCCCAGCCACTTCACACTCAGCTGCGAACCGCTCCAGTGAGAGCTGAAGATCCTGGCGCGATGACGCCGACAGAACCACATCATCTGCAAACAGCAGAGATGGAATCCTGAGGTCACCGAACAGGACTCCCTCCACCCCCCGGCTGCACCGAGAAATTCTGTCCATGTAAGTTATGAACACAATTGTGACCATACTGAGATAAAGTTTGTAAGTTTAAATCCCAACAAGGTTTTCCATTAAAAAGATTAGTTAAGGAGAAATTACAAGAGCATTGTGATAAAGGTTCGAAAATACAGAATAATAGAGATGAAAGAGATCCAGAGGCAGGCAAAGGAAAAAACCTGTACTAATGAAGAAGAGGGACATTGTGTCACTGCAAAGTCCTTTTTCCTGCTGATAGGAAGCAGACGAGTGCTGCAAACTGCATTTATCAGCCAGAGTAAACACTCCAGATGAAGAACAGTTATGAGTGTTTGAGGTTCGATGTGTTCGAAGTCCTCATAACTCTAAGCCTGTTATATGCATTTCAAGAGGAACAAAAGGTTTTGTGAGTGTTTTTGCAAGTAAAATGTGAGCAAAGTTTCTCTTTTAGTCTAATTTTAGAGTTTTTGTGTCATCAGTCTCTGTTAACATGGCAACCATAGTTTAGAGGCACTGAGGGTGAAGCTGTGATTAATTTCTACACCAATTAGTTCAACACAACTTCTATAAATACAAACTGCCTTCTGCGCTGTAGCAACAGGTGAAGCTGAGGTGACTCTTGTTTGTGAATTAGGAACTATTTCTGTGCGGAGTGTGTGCAGACAAAGAGATTACTGCTGCTAAAATGATTCACTTCAGTCCAGTTTGTGTGCGTGTGTGTGTATGTGTGTATATTTTAATGTGTGTCTATCCAAGCATACGCGTACATGCACTGACTTGGCATATCTACACTACACTCATTCTGCGTGCTTCCATAATGCTAGACTCATAAATGAACTACAGTTTTATCTTCTCTCCCCTGTGGTGTTTCGTCTCCCGCAGACATCTTTTTCTTTGTTCTTTTCTTAC